GCATATCCCGACTGGAAGCTAACACAATGAAACGCGCAAAGAGCTCCGGGCAAAACTCCGCGCTAGCCTGAAGAGAGACTGCGAATCTTGGTGGTCTCATCGTGCGTCAGAGATGGAAGTGGCCGCTATCCTTGGCAACCATCGTAAGTTATTCCGTCTGATACGGGAAACGGGCAGCAGGAGACCAGGTGTTAGTGAAACAATTTGTGATGAGAGTGGACAGCGTATCCACAATTTGTCAAAACGTTTGGAGCGTTGGGCTGAGCATTTTGAAAAGCAATTTAATCGGCTAGAATTGTCCGATTCGCCGGTCACTGATCGCCCTGCTCCGTGGGCTGTCCCTTTGGATCCACCCTCTCGCTCAGAAGTCGAACGTGAGATCGGACTGTTGAAGTTGAACAAAGCCGCGGGACCAGATGATCTTCCTCCAGCTCTCTTCAAATTCGGATGTTCTGCTCTTGTTGATGCTTTACATGAATTACTAGTGAAACTGTGGGAGCAGGAGACTGTCCCAACCGACTGGAGCCGCTCTGTTATTGTTCCCATCTTCAAAGGCGGCTCGCGCTCGGAATGCGGCAACCATAGAGGAATCAGTCTGATCTCCATCCCCTCCAAATTACTCGCCTCCATAATTCTTCACAGACTGACTGGTGCTCGTGAAAGCCAGATTCGTGAGGAGCAAGCCGGGTTTCGTCGTGGTCGTGGCTGCATTGACAGTTAGCGCGACGACGTCGTAAACTTTGGGATAGATACATCAGCTCGGGTTGTGATGAAGATTACGCGGTGTACAGGAAACAGCGTAACTTATGTAACGCCGCAAAGATGAAGAAACGCCGGCAGTTCGAAGAGGATCTAGCATCCTCGGCCACAACTGCACCCAAGCGAATATTTCTCTACTTGAAACGTCAACTGAAACCTGGAGACGACCTGCCGGTCTTAGAGAGCTTAGACGGGAAGACACTCATTTCAAGCGCGGAGCGCGCGGACTCATTGGCTACGCACTTCCTCACTGTATTTTCCAGTAAACCGGCGGCGGTTTCTGTACCGGTACAGGTTGCGCCAGTCTTGTTCAACAGCCTACAATGTGATGCAGTCGAAGTACATTAGCTACTCGTCAACCTCAATGGTGCAAAGCCCCCCGGGCCAGACGGACTTCACCCACTAATACTCAAGTCCCTATCGATTATCATCTCACCAGTTGTGACAAACCTTTTCAATAGATCGCTCTCTGAAGGATCCGTCCCGAACGACTGGAAATGCTCGATAGTTAAACCGCTTCCCAAGGGTGGTGATCCGAGTAAAATAGAGAACTATAGACCGATCTGTTTGACTTCGGTATTATCCAAAGTTCTCGAGAAGGTTGTGAAAAAGTGTCTGCTGTCGTTCTTCGAATCGATGGACATATTGACGCCAGCGCAACACGGCCTTACGAAAGGGCGATCCTGCATCACCAACTTGATGTACGCAAACCACCAGTGGGTTCGAGCTCTCAATGAACAGAAGGATGTTGACGTGGTGTACATCGACTTTAGTAAGGCGTTTGACAGAGTGAACCACGAGGTACTCCTTCGTAAACTGAGGACATACGGAATCGGTGGCACGTTACTTCAGTGGATACAAGAGTTTATTGTGGGACGAAGGTTTAGAGTACAGGTCAATGACTATCTGACAGAATGGTTCCCATCGACCAGTGGCGTGCCTCAAGGAACTGTACTTGGGCCAGCATTATTTCTTATTCATATCAACGATCTTCCGCAGCAGCTCCAGTCACCATGTGCCCTGTTTGCAGATGATTTGAAAATCTGGAGGATCATTGAGAACCAGAACGACTGCGCTCGCCTCCAGCAGGACTTAGAACGACTGTCAACGTGGTCCACTGAAATGCAACTCCCTCTTAACGCAAGCAAGTCGGAGTTCATCAGTATCACCAGACGTCCAGCCACTCGATCATACACCTTGGACGGCCAGTTGCTCCATCCCAACACATCTGTCAGAAACTTAGGAGTTCTCTCACAACATGATTTGCGATCACTAGAAAATACAGAGAAATTGTACCGTGCGGGACTTCGTATGCTCTGGGCATTAAGACGCAGTTTCTCCACATGGTCCGAAGAAATCGTCCCTCGTCTATTCACCTCGCTCATTAGACCAATCCTTGAATACGGTGCCGCAGCTTACCATCTGATAACCCAATGGGAAACTGAAAAACTGGAGAAAATACAGCATATCGCAACTAGAATGATACCGACCCTACGAAAGCTTCCATATGAAAAACGTTGTGAAAAACTCGGACTCTACACACTATCCTATCGCCGAGTAAGAATTGATCTTATTATGACCCATCGAGTACTACACTTGAATCACTTCCCCATACTGCGGCCAATATTTCACCTGCGAGGACCCTGTAACACCCGAGGACATCGTTACAAACTCAGGGTCCCCAGCATGAACAAAGTATCACATCAGCTTTGTATCGAACGAAGAATCGTAAACTTATGGAATACACTACCAGAAGGATTAATAGAGGCCGATTCTGTGAAGTGTATTAAAACTCGTATCGACGATTATTTTGGAAACCTGTGCTTTTGTGAAACGATGCACATACAGTGCCAAAAGAATACATTGTATGTCCGGAAATAATGACGCTAGTACAAATTTCTAACCGAACACGGATAAACGATTAACGGACCAGACACAACTGCTGATAATTCACAAGTAAATTTTGATTTTTCGTAATTCGATAGAGTTGTACAGAAACCTTTCTACTTGCTCTTAAATACAGTCTCAGTCTCATCTTCACTTTGCGTCAGTTGTTGGAGCACCGCCACACGTATTGACGGCCCACCCTAGTCGTGTTCCTTGACAACAAAGGTGCCTTCGATTCGTTTGATCTATGTGCCCTTTGGAATTGTCTACTCAGGAAAGGTGTGCCCGAGAAATATGTAAATATTATCCAAGCATTATATGCGCGTAGCACGGGCAGAGTGAGGGCTTACGGCAAGCTGTCGCCACCCTTTAATATCTCCAGCGGTGTGAGACAAGGATGCCCGCTGTCACCTTTCCTCTTCAACTTCGCTATTGACGAAGTCATGGAGTTTGCATTTTCAGGACATGACTTGGAAGGTGCAGAGCTACTCCCAGGAGAACGACTTCTTGACTTGGAGTATGCAGACGACATTGCCCTCATCTGTGACAGCTCCCAGACGTGCCAAGCCGCGCTGGACAGATTAGCACTGGCTGTCAGCCGCTTCGGGCTTTGCTTTGCACCATCGAAGTGCAAAGCGTCCCTCCAAGATTGGCAGGAATCGCCTCCTGCGCTGACCGTTGGTGGGGATCAGCTAAAAGTCGTTCAAAAATTCAATTACCTGGGAAGTTGTATCAGTGCCCTTGGGATGGAAGACGAGATCACGAACCGTATAGCGAAAGCTCGAAGTGCTTTTGCTAACCTTCGCCACCTATGGCGGCGGCGCGACATCACTCTCGCCCTGAAGGGTAGAGTGTACAATGCAGCGGTACGTTCGACCTTACTGTTCGGTTGCGAAACCTGGCCCCTAAGTTCAGCGGACATGAAGAGGCTAGTTACCTTCGAGCATCGGTGCCTTCGCAGTTTGGCTCACATCTGGTGGGAACACCGCGTGAGTAACGAGCTTGTTCGACGCCTTGTTTACGGCACAGAAAAAGGATCTGAACCGCTCAGCACCGTTATTTCCCGCACCGGGCTCCGATGGCTCGGCCACGTGTTACGCATGCCAGCCCACCAATTCCCTCGACGTGCGTTGTTTGCTCACCGGGGATGTGGGTGGAGGAAGAGGAGAGGTGGCCAAGCGATGACTTAGTCGAGAGGAATGAAGTCCCTTACTTCGGAGCTAGCCTCGGTTGGAGCGTCTCGGCTCCCTGGTTGGGGTCCAAGAGACGATGAAGACGTTTGGCTGGATACACTTGCTGAGATGGCAAGGAGCCGACCTCAGCGGCATTTGTGCTGTGAGTTTCTTTGTCCCTCCCCATCCCTTTTAGCTTTCCCCTCCATCTGCGATATCATTTCCTAGGGTAAAACAACTTTTTTTCTTTTTGCCTAGTAGCTGGCTGGTAGCTTACCGGAACGATGCCTATCCGTTGCTGGTAGCTCAGCTGGCATGCAACTGTTGTATCTATTTTTCCTTTGTGTATTGTATTATATGTATGTATGTATGTATTTCCTTCATGTATTGCGGCACAATAGCGGAGGTGTTTTCCCACCTCTAGCTGATGTGTGTAATGATGAATGATGATTCTTTACAGCTGTTATCGGTCAAGTCGTGGTGCCTACTTGAATGTTACTTTGTAGTCTCCACAGATTTTTACAATCCCGTCACTCTTTAATACGGACACAATGGGTACTTTCCAGTCTGAGTAATTCACGGACTCAACCGTACATTATTCCTGGAGCCGGGGTAGTTCCTCTTCTACTTGGTTCCGAAGTGCGTAAGGCACAGTGCGCGCCTTCCAAAATTTAGCGTTGTCTTACCGGGTGTGCTACCTGATTTTGGTGGCTCTGAGGACATTTAGGAGTCATCCAGAGGACCACACATGTATGTAATCTACCGCACCATTCTCGGATCCAGTTTACTCGCGGTGGAGCGTCAGAAGCGTTACCGACAACTCATTATACTATACGTCCATGAAAAGTTCCTTGCTCTGCGAAACATTCTATTACATGTGGTTTCTATTTGGTAGTATACCCAACCCGGTATCAGATTGCTCACTTGACATCTATCTCGTGGTTTAATCGCTGCAGCGTATTACTCAAACTTCTGGATGCTTCCTTGGTGGATGTTAATTCATTAGACAGCAGGAAAAACCGTCTGTCTCATTTCTTGTGTATTGCCGGTTTATATTCGTTGTGCTTTAGCAGCCATTTCTGTTCTGAATATGCTCCTGTTTATCGATGTCCTCAATATTAAATTACACTCTTAAGCTTTGCGTTAAGCTTTTCATGTGCTCGTTTCCCCACTTTTTCACAGGCGGAACCAGTGCGTCATACTGACAAGGCACCGACACCTCAGCTTGTGACCTCCGCCTTTGGATATGTAAATCTTTTCCCTCTCTTGCTGCGTATCGTTCCACCCAATTCACATCGGTTGTCTCAGCTTTTGTCCTCAGTTGCAAGCCCCGACTTGTGGACAGAATTTGGCCTACGATCCCTGTCGAACACTTCTTTGTGGTATCGCAAATCGAACACGCGAAATGACCCGCCCTACTGGAGGGGCGCCATTTGGTTGAACATTAATTACCTGGCTGTGCATAGTCTTCGCTACTATGGAAAACATCCGCGCACTCCTACCGATTTAGCGGTTGAGGCTAACCGATTGGCAACATCGTTATCACAAAATCTTGCCCGTATGGTTCTAGGGGAACTCGAACGAACCGGTTTCCTTTGGGAACAGTATGATGATATCACTGGTCACGGCCAGCGCGCCCATCCATTCTCCGGCTGGACGTCTTTAGTTAGCCTTTTGATGGTTCAGTAACTTCCCACTTGTTTTGTACTTTGCACAGTCGTTGTTTCCTCAATGTTTTGACGTTTATTTTGTCGACCTGTTGTTATTATTAATTTGCAGTTGACTGCGTTGTGTGATACTTAACTCTTACTTCGTAGACCGGGTTGATTCTGCCCAGCTACTGGGCGGTGCAGTTGCCGGTCCAAGAGAAGCACCCCTCTCTGAATTGTACCTGTCACTAGCCAATAGCGGTCTGTTCTCCCGCTTCTTGTCGAACGCAATCGACGTTGTCGTCAGGCACGGAATGTGAACGTTCTGACACACACAGTCGTGTGGCTGTGATCGAATGATACGAATCACAGTCCATGAACAAATTGGACAAATGTCCTGTGCTATTGAAACAGTAACCATAGTGAACGCAAAATTTATTCAGAATCACTCGTGAACTTGAGTGTACATAGTTGATGTGAGATGTTTTGTGACACATGTTATTCTGGAGACATAAGTCGTGAAAACTGGATGGATCTATTGCACTTCGGTGCCCGGATCATAGTTGCCCGATTAAACCAAACTCCTAACATGTTGAAAGCGTGCCTAATGCTCGTAAAAACCACCGTCGCCAAGCCAGAACTTGAGTGAGTAATCATTCAAAAATCACAGTTTCTACTCAGGCTTGTTACGCACCTACCATTATGACAGATGTAGAAAGACAAACACCACTGACTGCCGACCTGATGTTCTCTAGATAAGAAAAGTACACTCTATTCGATGGTCATCGCAATCATGTAGTGTTAAAAGTGATACAAATGATGAAAAGTGATAAATTATACAAAAACAACGGAATACGAATCAAGAAAGCAATAAAAAGAGGTCTTCGGAAACAATGTTTTAAAACGAGGGTCAAAAGTGCCAAGAAAGACTGTTCGGATAACAATGTGCAGGAAAAAATAGGTCTATCACAGAGCTACGCCGTGTTCTTTAAATAGATTAAGCGCGATCACCACTCTTTGAATCTCACTGGTGCCTTCGTAAATCTCACAAATGCGTGCATCACGGTAGTGTCGCTCCACGGGCATTGCCGTCACGTAACCCATACCACCGAGAATCTGCATGGCCTGTGAGAATGGAGGAATACAAGGAACGCTGAGCGACAGGAGGTGGTTACTAAAAGTTTAGATAACGGACTTAAGAACAACGAGGACTAATAACGAGTGTGATTGAAACAGCGGCGAAATTTGGTGGTGTACATGATGGATGTTGAGCGCCGACACGAGCAGAGGGTATTCGGAGAGTAACATTTACAACACATCATATAGACAATGAAGAAAATTACGCATGCTTTTTAGGAATACCGACATCATGGGTAGATCGCCATGTATTAGTCAAGTGAATCAGATAGCAACGGAAACAACACTTGCTCTTGTAGCTCATGCTGGGTGACACCTCACACATCGGTGACCTTAATATGACTCAAAAATGCCAAAACTTGCAAATATTCGGGACTAGACAGGATCCAGGGACAAAAATAACCTATTGCCTAACGAGTGTCCCGTTTCGTGTACCAGTAAGCGAGTTAGCCGGTGGCCGAGTGGTCTGCGCACCTGATTTGCAACCAAAAGGTCACCGATTCGAATCCGCGTAGAGGTAGACGTCATCGCTGTATACTCAGTCCGCGTGCGACTGGTGGTGGTCGCGTAGGAGCGAAGCGCCATTACGGCATACAACTGACGACCTTTTTTATCAGTAAGCGAAATAGAGCTCCCAGCACTGTGACTTGACAGAATATTCTTGTGTCCGTAATAGAGAAATACATGAGTAAGAGCAAAGTAATCGTAAATTTTCACGGAGCTGCGTAAGTTATTAGGGCGTGGTCATAGGCCGCCGTGAAATCCCACAGAAATTCGAGGGAAAAAACCAGCCAATCTAAGTCCAGGCATGGTATGAAGTCCTACGGCGGTCAGGAGTACATCCTAAGGGATGAAGCAGTGAACTCTCTATGGATAGCTTCGGCGGGTATTTGTCACTTGAGAAGTTTGAAACAATTAGTTCCTTTCAGTAGTTCCACAACGAAATGATAAGACGAATACTGGCAGATGCTAGCATTTCGTATTATCACGTCAGTAATAATACAATCACAGGGAAATCTTTTTTTATAATAAAGCGCACAGTCCATCGCAATGAGGCTGGACCTTACCGTGGTGCGATGGTTTGTGTGCCTCAGTGATCCATTGTGCTATACTGGGTGGTACATTATGCACCTTCAGAGTCAGTCATACCAGATTGGTCAATGGTGAGAGGCCAAACAAACAGCCTCCTGGTCCTCCAGGTTGGGAGTTGGCATGAGGGTGGCTCCTTATTCCTTAAAACGAACTCCTTGTAGCCCAATGCCAAACCCGCTGCCTTGCGGACAGGTTTTTGAACCAAAGGCTTTGGTTGAGAACCCTAATCGTTCTCCTGTCTAGGCCTGGGCAACCTGACAGTATCCTGCCCACGCAATACTATGAATCACACTTCAAACAAATTTCTGATGTTCTGGCCACCGCAGAGGATAATCAACGGTGCCGTATCTGATGCATCGAGCAGGGTGGATAGGGGTTTGAATGCTACTGCTCAAGCCTTCCCGTCTTCTTATTCCCCCTCTTACGCTTTGTCACCCTTACCGTCCCGTTCCAGCTTCACTTTTATCCCCCCTGTTTTCAACCCCCCAATTCTCGGCTCTCCCCCACCTTGCTTCAATAGTCGCTTGTCTTTTAGTTTCAACTCACATGTGAACGCGGAGCGTCATTCCTGCCCTGTCAACAGGCCCATGTCCAAGCAAGCGGCCCATTCCAGTTCATCGGCTTCCATTTTGAGCCCTCGATCCTCCTTCAGATTGACATGCCTCAATGTACACACATTACTACAGATCGGTCAACAGGCAGCACTTGCCCGAACATTGGAGACCCTCTCGATCGATATCTGCTGCTTATCGGAGACCCGCCTGCAAGACTCTACCCCTGTGCTTACTTTGCGATCACCTTCAGGTGACACTAGTATCACTTTCTCATTGCGCCTCTCCAGTGACGATGCAGCTTCGAGCACCGGCCTAGCCGGTGTTGGTATTGCCCTGAGTCTCCGGGCTTAACGTCCTCTGGTTGGTTGGATTCCAATCGGTAGCCGGATGTGAGCGGTCCAATTAGATGGATCGTTTAAAGCTTGGAAGTCACGTGTGACTAACAGGTGTCTATTCGTTATCGCTGCCTGTGCACCGACTCGGTAAAAGACGACTTCTGTTGCTTGCATCTGTCATCCTTCACAGACTGGCACTCGTGAAAGCCAGATTCGTGAAGAGCAAGCTGGATTTCGTCGAGGTCATGGCTGCATTGATCACATCTTCACCTTGCGTCAGTTGTTGGAGCACCGTCACAGATATTGGCGACTCAATGTTGTCGTGTTTCTTGATATTAAAGGTGCATTCGATTCGGTGGACAGACGTGCACTTTGGGACTGTTTACTCAGGAAAGGTGCACCTGAGAAATATGTGAATATTATCCGAGCATTATATGCGCGTAGCTCGGGCAGAGTGAGGGCTTACGGCAAGCTGCGGCCACCCTTCATTATCTCCAGCTGCGTGAGACAAGGATGCCCGCTGTCACCTTTCCTCTTCAACTTCGCTGTTGAAGAAGTCATGGAAATCGCGTTCACAGGAGAACGACTTCTTGACTTGGAGTATCCTGACGATATTGTCCTCATCTGTGGCAGCTCACAAACGTGTCAAGCGGCACTGGACAAAGTAGCACTAGCTGTCCGTCACTTCGGGCTTTGTTTCGCACTCTCGAAGTGCAAAGCGTTCCTCCAACATTGGTCTGGACCGCCCCCTACGCTGACCGTTGGTGGGGATCAGCTAGAAGTCGTTCAAAAATTCAACTACCTGGGAAGTTGTATCAGCGCCTGTGGGATTGAGGATGAGATCACGAACCGTACAGCAAAAGCTCGGGGCGCTTTTGCTAACCTTCGCCACTTATGGCGCCGGTGCGACATCACTCTTGCCCTGAAGGGTAGAGTGTACAATGCAGCAGTACGTTCGACCCTACTGCATGGTTGTGAAACCGGGCCGCTTAAAGCAGCGGACCTGAAGAGGCTAGTTACGTTCGACCACCGGTGCCTTCGTAATTTAGCTCACATCTGGTGGGAACACAGCGTGAGCAACGAGCGTGTTCGACGCCTTGTTTATGGTACAGGAAAAGGAAATGAACCGCTCAGCACCGTTATTTCACGCACCAGGCTCCGATGGCTCGGCCACGTGTTACGTATGCCAGCCCACCGACTCCGGCGACGTGCGTTGTTTGCGCGCCGGGGGTGTGGATGGAAGAAGAGGAGGGGTGGCCAAGCGATGACTTGGTCGGTTGGCTTGGTCGGTTGGAGCGTCTCGGCTGCCTGGTTGGGATCCGAAGGACGATGAACACGTTTGGTTGGACACACTTGCTGATATGGCTAGGAGCCGACCTCAGTGGCGTTCGTGCTGTGAGTTTCTTTGTCCCACGCCATCCCTCTTAACCTCCGCCTCCAACCGCGATCTCATTATTTAGCCTGATATAATTTTGCATAGTAATTTTTTTGGTGCACAGGAGCAGGCTGGTAATTTAGCGGAACGATGTCCATCTGTTACCAGTAGCTCAGCCGGCTTGCACTAGTTGCATTTTTTCTCCTTTTTTCTGTGTGCTGCGGCACAGTAGCTGAGATGTTCCCCACCTCTAGCTAACGTGTATTATGATGATGATGATGAAAGGGTATCTATATATATATATTTGCAAAAGTCTGCTAACAGACATAATGCCATCAGAAACCATGGAATTCAAACGAAAGTACAGAAACAGTACAATAAAACACAACACAACAATGTCCATGGTTTCCTCAGAGGGCGAGATACTACCCGGTTGCCCAAGCCGAAGTAGGGTGTTGACTTAGGGGACACCACCCCGAGCCTTTGGCTGAATAGCCTGCCCGCAAGGCAGCGGAGCGAATTCAGGGAATCGCGCCCATTGGGAGCCGGTGACTGATTGCTCAGTTCATACGCCTTTCGTTTGTTCTTTTGTCAAACAGGGGCCCAATGCTCCCCAGAAGTACAGCATGATGTTGCTGGAATACAATGCTTCGCCAGGTTGAAGCAAGGGGCAGTGACTTTATTTAGTGGCGAGTCACGTCCGCCACGTCACAGTGTTGTTAAACGGACATATGTGGCTTTTTATAGGGAGAACGCTTGCCAGGCGAAAACCCACCACGTCCTGGAACACTGCCGCCGAACCATTTGCTGGAACGGGAAAATCCCGAACCACCCAGCTGGCACCACGAGGAGGTTGTTCGGCAAGCCAGGGTACAGTCAAGCCAATCAAATTTATGGTTGTGGTCAATGTTGTTGGCATTAAGACTACGGCAACCCCACGTTGACAACTAATTGCTTTTGGTCTAATACAGCTTATCGCAACGGCCTTGGCAAATCGCAAAAGGCGTGAATTTGTATGACGCAACAAAATCCCGAACGCCAAGAAGGGATTAATCCGGTGACGAGTCGCCAAGATATGCCTGCCTATGGAGGACGTCGGCAGCTTTTGCGAGCACGTATCGTCGGAGGTGGATTGAGTAACTTCGCGCTGAACCCAGTTTGATATGTGTTCCTTCACTCTGGAATCTAAAGCCCGTTCGGTTCTGCCGATGCCGCAACCACACACGAATTGACAAACCCACAATGTGATTTGGCGCCGACCCGTTTTGTTGATAATTACCGCTTCCACAGCATAATACGTACGCTGAATGGCCGAGACTATGTGTTTAGTTATCCTTCTTACTGCCCTATAAGACTTATGTAAAGATTTCCCTTATTGTATTGGTACTGACGAGTTACTACAAAATGCTAGCATCTGCCAATATTCATCTTCTCATTTCATTGTTCAAACTCTTTATGGACCGAAACCCAACTCCTTTTCAGAAATTTACCGGAACAATCGTATTGGTCGACCCACTCTCGGACAATTTAATGCTATTCTTGATAGGTAGGGAATAGAACATTGAGAAGGTCAACATGAACATTTAACTAACAGTAGTCTGTGCCATGTAGTTTGCAGCGATTACACTGCTGACCTATGCCTCGCCTTCATCAGCGCCTGAGATTAAAACAATCAGGTTGCCACGACACGAGACTGGTGACGATAACAATTTGACTACAGAGTGTTTTTGATTGAAGAACCCGAAAATGCCATTTTCAGTGGAGTTCACCGCTACACTTCAGCACCAACAGAAGCAATTTGAAGAAAGCCAGACAAGGCTAATCGAGAACATCTTCCAACATCCTGCGATACAATCAAGCAATGAAAATCAGCAGTCACCCCTAGATTCCATCTCTAGTAGCATTGGCGAATTTCAATTTCATTTTCGAATCTTGGTTCAGAAGATACAAAGAGATTTTTCAGTCTGAATTTGCTGACGCTGAACACGGACGAAAGTACAGACTGTTCCTGCAGATGCTGACAAGCAAGGAGCAGGATAATCCTCTCAATCTTATCTTGGCTAAATGTCCCAAAATGTTCACTTTGGATCAACGCACGTTGACAAGACCCGTCCATCGACTCCGAATACTGAAGGTTAATCAACTAGGAACATGACACGTATCGGATTGCCCGCAGATATGCTGATGGTGTCAAACAAGCGCGGAAGTTTAATGAAGTTGCCATACTCGGTAGAGCGAAACGGCCCACCACTCGAATGCTGGCAGTGTGTGGAATGATAATTCGTCAGATTCTGTCCGTACAATAGGCATCGTTATCAAAAATGAAACAAACGAGGCCATGTGGAGGATCAGTGCTGTTTAGGTGCTTTCAAAAATAGTCTCCACCTCTAACAAGATATGGATATCAGCTTCGTCCTGTTTTTGCTTTCTTCAAAGCAGAGGCTGCAAAGCGCGGTAGGTGCATCTTGAAATTGATATTACCTCGGATATCATAGTCATATCCGAGAAAATTTGAAAGGAAATCGGCCCACCCTTGTTCAAAGAACAACATGGATTGCAACAAATGCGTTAGGAGAACTGCTAAACTTAGCCGGTGGAATTCATTGCGCTGTACTGTTCAAAGACTGTCAGCTCAAGGGAGTTTTCTACGTGACACCCAAACCTGAACTTACCTGATCTCAACTGGTTTGGCAATATGAACCTGCTTGACGTTTCGACTGAATTCAGCGTGCAACAAACTAAGCGGCGCAGCTGTGAACTGAACGGAGACTCTACAGAAGAAGTATCTGCAGATGCATCAGGATGGTCTGGAATTGTGCACGAATATCAAGACCAGTTTAGCCTTGCAGCTAGACACGAAGCTAACCTTCGGATCAAAGCGGCCGGTTCCATATGCAATCATTTCAATCATCGACCAAAACACTGAGTTATCAAACCTACCAATTACTTTTCATCTTTGGTGAGTAGCTACAGTACATAGCCACCGTCCTATGCGGATCAGTGTATCGTCTGCGAGGAAGCATAATCCCTGGGTCTGGACAACAGATCAGGGAGCTTTCGACAAGACTGAGTCGTTGTTAAGTTCAGTACTGGTACGAATGTACTACGATCCAAAGCTACCAATCGTCTGGGCATCGGATGCATCCAGCCACTGAGTTAATGCAGTCATTTTGCACACTTTCCAGAAGAATTTAAGAACCCGGACGCTCGTTCGTTGACCGCATCAGAAAAAATTATAGCCAAATTAAGGAGGCTTTTACTATTGTGCTTGCAATGAAGCATTGTCACAAAATGCTATATGATCGTCAATATACCAGACTACAAGTACCAATCGGCAAGTGACATATGTCAGGCCGACGTACCAGCACGACTGTTGGAGGAACGGCACCAACCAGAAGAACCTGTCGCTGCTAACCTCTCTATCGAAACGTGTTCCTTTGCACTTTAAGCCAACCATTTCAGTTTGATGCGAGACGCCACTTTAGGAGACCCGTTGCAGTCACAGGAGAGCACGTTTCACTATTTACAGTAACAAGGAAAATTTTCGGAGGCGCAGTCACAACAAATGTTCCAGGGTCGAAATGCATTATTGTCGTCCAAGACTATCTCCCTTTGGTGAACGCATCGTCATCCTAGCTGAATTCCAATCTAGAATCCTACATGCCGGACGTCCAGGCTCCAACAAGATGAAAGCTCCAGTGATAGATTACGTATACTGTCCGTTTGTGGATAATAAAATTGAAGATTTAACAAGTTCATATCTTAAGCTCTACCCCATCAGCGAAATCAAAGCGGAAATGTGAGCTTTTCTTCGACTCGACGGCTACGAAACCATGGTCAAGAGTTAATCGTGATTTTACGGGGCCTAATCAAAGGACGGAACTTCTTACTCATTATCGATGGATGCGGCAAGCGGCACAAGATCTTCCAAATGTCTAATACTTCGACATCAACCACGATCACCGCCAACAGGGAAGTACTCAGTCGATTCGATTTTCCGAAACACTAGTATTTGACAAAGGACTTCGGTTGACCTCTTTACACGTACATGAATTTTGCGCGCCACACGGCACGGAGCATGTGCGTTCGCCCTATAGTCATCCCGTCTCATGGGCAAGCCGAATGGTTTGTGGATACCTGCAAGAGGGATCTGCTCAGAGCTGAGGAAGACAGATCCCGCAAACATTTCCGTTAACATGCATAAATAAGCCAAATCTACAAACGCCTATCGGGAAATCCTCAACGGAATCCCTTCTACGTAGAAGAATAAGCAAGAAATTTGATCTGATAAAGCTGATTGACAGGTAAAATTGTAGGGATTTGAATCCTGAAACATCTGTACAACCGAAGACCACGCTCTACCATGGCATTTCGACACTGGATAGGATTATGTGGAACGACAAAAACACTGTCACATGAATTGGTCATAGAAAGACATGGCCATATCTTATGAAGTAGACGTAGGTGATGATAAGTGGGTTTGCCACATCAACCATCTCGGGAGATAAACAACATCTGACAGAAGATGCCTTGATTACGTCTCTCGAAATAGTTCTGAGTGAATTCAAGCTTTCAACGACAAGAAACAGAGCAGGATAAGCCTGCCACTCCGTCAACCTCTCCTGCATCAGATAGACGACCCAAAGATGGACAGATTGTTGCCGAGATCGGTGAGTTTGAGACCAATGAGACCCATCATGATGTCGAACGGATATATTAAGTCCCTTCTCACAAACTGCGTCTCCACACTGAAAACAATCCTACGCTAGCTAACCTATCTTCGTACAGTAACCCAAACTGAATTGCTACCATTCGGGTGGCTTGTCTTTGCACATTCTCAGCACAAATTACATCATTCTGCAAGTGGAGTGTCTAGGCCTGAGGTAGTCTGACCACTTTGTAAAAGGTGCAAAGTACTTATGGGTTGGTACAACACATCCCACCTGAGACAAAACAACTGCTATCGTGCTGTATTAGCAGTATATCTGCACTGCAGTTGAAGGCTTGAAGTTATTCCTCAAGATGATATCTAGATCGCGCGCTACGCTAATAGACTGATGCATGTATGGCAATTTCTTCATCGTGTGATATTAACATTTAGCATTTACTGGCGTTCGAATGCAAATTTGATGCGCGTCGTGACGGATCGGATCATCACAAATTAGAAAGTGAGGTAAATTCGCTGACTTGATGCTGCAGCATTGACTGGCTCGACAGTTAGGCGAATCTATCAGTGTGTCTTACCTGGTGAGCAACAAAAGTGGCTGTCTCCGATGCAGCCAGTTTAGCCATTGCGGCCGCCTTGGTGACCGAAGCTCCACTATCAAGTAAGGATGCAGCATGCCAAGTGAGGAGGCGGGCAGATTGCAGACGTGTTTCCATGTCAGCCAATTTGAATTGGATGGCTTGAAGCTTACCGATTGGTTGCCCAAAGGCCGTCCTCTTGCCTGCGTACTCCACAGCACAGTCCAACGCGGCCTGCATGATAAAAAGGAATGGGAGCAAGTGTGAGTGAACCGGCAGTGAGACACAAGAGGTGACCGCATGCATGTAGAGGTGTCGAGAAGAAAAAGCAAACCCATGAGCAACACTCCTCTGTGTGTTCAATAAAAGTGCACGAGTGGGAACGTTCACCAACGGCGCGGGCGTTTCAAGAGGGCAAAAATCAACGAAGTCGGACAGAGAAATGTGAAGAGGGTATGACTCGACTAAAACAAAAAAGTGCAAAACGCGTACGCTTGAAAAGCCCACGCGGAGTGACAGTGGGCGCAAAATGTAAAAAATATCGAAAGGACAAGCACATTTAAAGAAAAACGCACCGATCTATTACGCTTACGAGATGCACATATACTGAAAACACAAATCAGGAACAAACATGTCATTCAACTGTCAGGTATCGATGCAACGAGAATTGGTGACAAAAAGCTACTTTCAATTAACGACTGAGTACCAGGTGAGAACCGAAAACCGAAGCAATCGCAGTATTAGTGAACTTCTTATAGTATGCATCAGAGCGATGGCGTGAAATAAAACCAGGATTATTCCAAACGTAAAACAATATGTATCTTTTTAAAATTAAACGCAAATTGAGTTTCTGCACGATGAGTGACAAATATAACGATGGGTAGCTCATACTGAAAAGCTAAGAATGTCGCGCGTTGTCAAGCATCCATTCAGTTCGTGTGGCTAGGGTGAGACACTTCAAAGCAGCACTTGAAGCGAAACTCAACAGAATGCACAGTGGTAGAGACTCGGGCTTGGTGAACGTCATTGAAATCCACACTCGTAGAGTTGACGAAGAGCAATAATTAGATCAGTGCTTTTTAGTTACGTTTAAGCGGTTAATGCGAGTACAATATCCTTGTCTATTTAGCGGTGAAGCAAGGTAAGCGGACTTCAAGGTGATGGTTCATTTCGGAATACGGTAGGAAAATAAAGTTCGTCAACGGAGATGAACGTATTGGTAGTCACTGAAATACATCACGAGAAGTAGAGCAGCACCAATATTACGAGAGATCAAAACAAAACCGCAAAACAGACGATGATGGTGTATAAATAAACATGATCAGCGATAAGAAGCGCTCGTTTAGAGTAGTTCGGATCTGTCCCAACAGCATGATAGAATACAAAACTGCATGAAGAAGCGTGCATGCTGAAAAGATTAGGAAAATAGGATGGTTTCGTAGCTTTATGCCGAAAATTGAACATGATGATGTCAAGTTGATCTAGCTCGCCAGCTTAGCTCACCAAAGTAGACACAAATGTGAACCAAACATGGAAGCGTGTGGAGGTTGCTGCTGTGACCAGTAGAGATCAGAAAATGCTGCTCCTGTGGTGAAACGCAATGTGATCATCATCAACAGCCATTTAAACTGATGCCTCGCTGCCGTACAACCACAGTGACCTACAGAACGAAGAATAATAATAATAGATAGAGAAGGGGGACCTACCGAAAAACCTTAATAAGCAAACACTCGGAGTTAAGACACCTACGTTGTCAACAACATGCCGTCACAAACAGCTAGCTGTCCTGCAAAGATAAAGCGGCATCGGCGAAACGGCCCACTTGCGGCTTTCACTGCACCGCGTCATAATCAGCCATTACCCCGCAAACAACTCAGCCCAAACAAACAGGCACTCCGACTAGGAGACGACAGCAGACATACCACTGGTGTCGACTGCGAACCACGTCCTGTAACGTCTCAACTCAAACACAAAGCGGGTTAGGTGTACTCCAGCCTGGAAGGCGGGACGGACCAACGGCACCCAGTTTGGTAGTCGGTGACTTCATTCCCCGCTGTCAAGTCAACTGTTTCTTATCTTGAGTCATGCGCCACCCTACATCTGGCAGACTAAACAAGGCCCTTCTCGGTAAACGGTGACCAGACATAAGTAGTACGTTCCCCAGCCAACGCAACTTATTCAGTGCTATATGTTGTTCTAAAGAACTAGCTTGATTATCACTGCCCAGTCCTCATCTACGCACATCATCGTTGTGGACAGGCTTGTGCCACCCAACACCAACCATGCTTCGCAGACAACGATGATCAAAGACTTGAAGGTGCCTCAGATTGGAAGGGCCAAGTCTCACTTCCAGAGAGTAGGACGGTTCTCAATGTCGCCTTGTAAACACAGCTTTTCAGATGGAGGCAAACACCTACCGCCAAAGATGTCGCAGATTCAAGAAAGAAATTCGGGTTTTTGAAAAGCGTGAACTGACCCATTGTTTTTCGTCACATCTAGGCTCACTCAGACAGCCGACACAAGCCCGGAAAAGCACTGTACGCGCGTACAGTGCTTTTCCGGGCTTGTGGCGGCTGTCTGAGTGAGCCTAGATGTGACGAAATTCTACCTATACCATTCAACTCCCCCTACTACTCTTCTGTGAACCATTGTTGTCAAGGGTCTACAGGTCTTCAAGCGACCGGTGGTCCTGCAGCAACACTTGACACTTTGAAGGTGCGAAGCGCATACAAAATAACAGGACCACTCTAGTAAGGATATTCAGTGTTGTGTCGCACCAACATTGTTAAAACGCAAGACAATACCGTCCGCATAATCAAGTTCAAGGCAGGATCCCAAAGCCTACATTATGACATTCCGTAAGCGAACACTCCGTGATGGAGTCCACGACGAAGGTGGACAAAAATCGGGAAATCGGACAACATTGACGAACATCACTTGTTGTCAGAAAGCTATCCGACAGCTCACTGTAGACACTACGGCGGCCTGTAATGTTCGAGTAGGTAGGACCACGTAGGATGTTCACATATTTCGTGGGAACCCTTTCCGCGCAAGTATTTCGAACAGAATGCATCGAAGGTATTCTTGAAATCGAGGAACACAACTATTTTCAGGCTATGATATGCGTGGCGCTGCTCTAGCACCTGTCGCAGAGTAAATATATGGTCTATACAGCCACATTCTGGGCGGAAACCTGCCCGCTGTTCCCTAATCCGAGATTCCCGTTCCGCAGTGAGGCGACGGAAAAGGATTGCAGCCAGTGATTTTGTCAACAGCGGCATTAGGCTAATATTCCTTTCCTTCTTGTATATCGCCATTATTAATGATTTACTCCAGACAGCTTTCCAGACCTGTTGGAACAGTGAGGTCAGTACTTTGCAGAGGATCTCACCACCCTCCTTAAATAGTGCAGGTGAGAGCGAATCCGGGCTAGCAGCACGAAAACAATTGAGGACTGTGCTCGCGTTTCGGACGTCGGCCTCCGACGGAGGCTCTAAACTAACCGTCCATGGCTCGTCGTGCATCACTTGTGTAGGAAGAGGTTCGGGAGCAAGTGGCCGACTGATCTCCAAAGTGTTCCGTCCAACGAGCCATACGGTGCTCCCTATTGTGATCAGTGCACCTGCGCTGTTTCTGATTGTCACACTGACGACTGGGGTTTCCTGGGACCAATGATGCAGAAAAGTTTGCGATATCTGCTATTGTTCCGGCCAGCTCCATGTCTTGAGCCCGACTGGTTCACTAGGCTTCCTTGTCAGCACGTAAGTTTCGCTTTACTTCGCGCGTAATAGTCTGTCTGGTCACATTGTGCTCAGAACCAGAAGGGAGTTTCCTGGATCGCGACAGGTTCACAGACCTCTCGGAGATCCAGCGACTGGTGTGGTGACGACAAGCAAATGCTCCTGCGTCGTGCATGGAGGCCGGGATCCTATTCCACTGGAGCGCAGTGTCATTAAAACAAGACAATTCGGTATGCAGTGTGTCTTGATAGGCTTGCTTGACCGAGGGCTGAGACAATTTCTCATTTGCCAATCGGAGTAGACGCTTGGTGCGCCTCTCGGGAAAGTTCATGGAGAAACGACAGCGTACCAAGGCATGATCAGAGTCGACGCAGATACTCCAGTACGAGCGACAATCCAGGATGGAACCACGCCACCTGTAACTTACGGCAATGTGGTCAATATGGGTCCATCGCTGGTCAGTTACAGGAGAACGCCAAGTGGCACTTCGGCGCCCACTGCGTCTAAAAGAAGTGCCACTGAGAAACAACTGGCGCTCCGCATACAGTTGCAGCAGATGCTCACAGTTGTCAGCTCATAATTACCACCCAGCTGAGCTTCTGAAGAGCTCAGACGCCTTACTTGTGTGTTCACATCCCTGCAAGTACTATAATATCTGAAGTAGTAGCACTGCGTAGTAGGGCGTTCTGTTCGTGATAGAATGTGTCCCTGACAGCATTTGAACTGCAGTCGGTGGAAGCATAAGCGAAAATCACAAACAAACAGCGTTTTCTACTACTTCGTGAATCAACCTTAGCTGATGTCGTCAAACGGGCTGCGCATAAACGGCTGTTCACCGGAATCCAATCAATCAACGATGACTCAGTCTTGAAGCTCAGAACCATACCTACTACAGCTTGACCCGTGAGTGCTGCATTGGTGTCTCCGGATGCGTGCAACCAATAACCAGAGGATAAGTCAGTTGCAGTTAATTCAAAAACCCTGTCTTAAAAGGCGAACGTTGAACGCCACCAGGGAAACGGGACAGCGTGGCCTCATAAGGGACTGTTGCCGGTAGGCGTCCAGTGGGTATTGTGTGAAGGTGACTGGAGATGATTCGACTCTACTGGCATTGCGACTGTTGTCAATTAAGTTGGGAATTATAGTTGAAGGTCAGTGAGCGGTTGGGATGGAAGTAAGAGAAACAAGTGGAAAAGAAAGGAGGCGCCAGCAGTGGCATGTTTTCGCTTATCCGCCCTGCTGTATGCGGCAGGTAAGGCGACCCTTGATATTCTACGCAACGGCCGATGCAAGATGTGATTGAAGTTTGAAGAAATAATCATGGTTGTAAGTGGGCTGAGATACTGCAAGACCTAGGCAGAAGAACGATAAGGGTGCTCAACCAAAGGATTTAGCTCCAAGGCTGTCCGCAAGGCAATGGGGTGGTGGTAACGAATAAGTTTTACAGAAGTCAACGCCATCCCATTTCAAACCCCCAACCTGGAGGACCAGGAC